CATTTCCCTCAGAGGATGCTCGTTCTCACCTCCAGTTCCTGAAGAGTGCTTGGAGTCACACCCTGGGCCAGGCTGGGTTGACCACYACAGAAGGAGCAGATCTGGAAGGACTGCAGCAGCCTCTGGGTTAAACCCACATGGGACAGATGACATTGGGTCCCAGGAGGAGAAGGGCCTAGCCCAAGACCCTAAAGCTAGACACAGGGTGGGTGTTGGGATCCCAGACTTGCTTCTCTCATTGCCCCAGATGGTGGGGACAGTTAGACGTGGCCAAAGACTGGATCTCACGGAAGGAATCTCACAGGACAGAACCATTGGCAGAGAGAGATGGGGTTGTACCCAGCTCCATGGCCAGTCCTGTGAGGCAGGCTAAACCCAGCGCCCAGAACTCTGCCTGGTACATAGTAGGAGCCAGAAAATAACTGCAGGATGACAACTGCAAGTTCAGGATGCTGGCCGCCTCTGGGAAGGGGGGAGGGGCCTGAGATCGTGGAGGGTGTGCTGGGGCCTCCGCTGTATGGGGGAGTTCGCTGGTGTTCATTATATGACCATCTATTTTGAAATTGTTTGGTTAAAATACTTCAAAATTCTTACACATGTGTTAAATACAGAAATAACTCCAGGATCCCTTTACTACATGTATTTTTCTTTGCTAATGTGACACTCTGGACCCATCTTGAGTGGTTCTAACCAGAGTGAAAGAAGTGGCTCTGATTTCTACAACAGCAGCACCCCAGCTGGGGTCTTCTCAGCCTGTCGCGGAGCCCTCCGTTCCCGGAGCCCATGACACTGAGAGGTGGATCTGAGCATGGTGTGAACGGCCAAAGTGGTGCCCATCTCCAATGGGGCCCTGGCATGGTTTCTTGATGAAGCTCAACAAACCGAGCTAAGCTAGGATGTCACTTGGAGAATCTGCCCTGGAACCGTGTCATCCCACCAATGACTGCCACCAGAGCAAGGAGCTTTCCCCTAAAACCAAGCCACCAACCAATGCCTTTGTTCCCTACCTGCAGAAAGAAAGCAGCATCTAAATCTTGCAAAAGGTAGGCTATTCCATTCTGTCACATGTGAGGATAGGATGTGCTTTGAGGTTGCCAAGGTGGCCCCACAAAGTCGCAGAGTCTCAGGGCTTGAAGGAACCTCCAAAGGCTTTGTCTTGGTCTCCCATGAGACTCAGGTCTTCTTTAGGTCTATGGTCAGGAGGCCACTAACCACCTGGGGCAGCAGCAATTGCTTTGCCATCCCTTTCTCCCTCTCTGCCTTCTTTTCTTTCTTTCTTTGGAGGACAGGGTTAAGACTGGGGGTCATTTTTTTGTTTTTATAAAAATAGTATCACCTGGTGTACATTCTTCTGCACAGACAGTGTTTCTAGGTCAAAGACCAAATTATTTTTAGCAGTTACTATGTACCAGGCACAGTTATAATCATGTCATATACATTGACTCAGTGATTCCTCCAAACAAGTCTGTAGGACAAACACTATTATAATCTCTACTTTTACTGAAGAGGAGACCGATGGTCAGAAAAGCCATGCAAAGTAGTTTGTAAGTGGTGGACTCTAGAACCCAGCCAGTCTGTCTCCAGACCCTGTGTTCTTAGCCAGTGTACCATACTACCTTTCAAAGCAGACATAAATTATGTCTGTTGTCCTAGCTAACTGTCCTGGTTTGGATCTAACACTTTCAAAAATCTCCTTACTATTGAGTTTTTGGAGTTTTTCTAATTTTTCCCCGCTAGAATTTTGCAATCAACATCCTTTGTACACATATCTTCACAGACTGGTGCTATTGTTCCAYATGCCAGATTCCCAGAAGTGGGACCATGGGTCAAAGCGTACGTGTGTTTTGGGTTAAAATAGCCAGGGGGCCTATTGTCTGAGGAATCTTCCTATTAGTGAGACATGTGATTTTCACTCACTTGTTTGGATTCTGTCCCCAGAACCTCATGGAACCCTTCTGACCCTTTCTCTCCAGGACAACCCCTTGTGGACCGTGGGCAGAGACAGCTTCTGAGGTCTCTTCCTGCCCATTTCCTCAGACGTTCCTCTGACAGCATGGGTCCCTTGGAGGGGTCCAGATGCTGCAGAGGGCAGCTCCCGTGCCCCTTCCCTTCTGCCGAAAGACACACCCAGAGAGGGATGGCGTGATTTCTGACACCAACAGCGCAGGAGAAGACTTGGTCCAAGGAGGCAGGATTCAGAGGTCTAATCTTCAGCTTCCCCAAATCACACATACCCCTTCCTGAGCCAAAGGCCCTGTGGGAGGCAGGATGGACCAGCCAGATAATAAAATGGAGCTCACTCTTCTATAAGATGCCAATGACTCTGGAGATGAGCAGACCTTCCAGCAGCTTCTAGCCGAGTATCTTCCTTTATGACAGTGTCCTGGCAGGCAATGGCCAGGCCAGGCTCACATGCTGGGTGTGTGCAGCCCTGCCCCAGCTGGGAGCAGGGTCTCCGGCTCGCGCTGCCGGCTGGTTCCTAGGAACTGTCTTACTAGAAAGGCACAGTGTAAATATTTGGCTAAGCAGCCAAGAGAGGAAACTTACCCAGGCTGAGCTGCCCAGGGCTGGGTGCTGGCCATGGACACAATGCTCAATGAGGGCCATTATCTGGGAAGGGAGGGCTGTTTGTTCCACTGCGGGACAGTGCCAGAGCCCAGAGCCACCAGGCTTGCCACTCTGGCTGCCACACAGAAGAGTCTCCTTGCACTTGGTAGACTCTGTGGTTATGCAATGCTGGGCCAGGAGGTTAACTCTCCCTGGCTGGGAGCCAGGCCTGCTCCTTCCTGCCTGAGCATGTCCATCTGAAAATGCTCAAAATTGAGGGCCTCACTGTTTGCAAAATATGCTCGGGCCCCAACCTGCTGGTCTCTTCTAAAGGGCTTAGTGTTGGGGAGCTGGTGTGCTCCTCCCTGTAGTCCCCAGCCTCTACCCACCTGCCCGGGCCAGTGCCCGCCACTCTGTGGGCGCCACTCCCGGGTCTCGCCACCCTCTGCCTGGTTGCTTCTTTCTCCCCCTTTCTCTGTGGGTTGTACCTGGTCTAACTCCTTTCCTAAGCACACAGTCCACCCCACCTCCTCAAAGCCTTCCCCAGTCACCACAGCCCCCAGGGACCTGAGCCAAAACAGTGAGATTTCCTTATGCCACATTCCCAGAAGCAATCTGGCAGTATCTATCCAAATGCCCCATTTTCCAGATGAGCAAATGGAGGCTGGGGAAGTTGACTACCCTAGGAGTGAGTCCCCGGGAATGTCAGCGGGCTCTCCTCTCCAAACTTTCTCTCATGGCTCACATCCCATTTCTCAGCATGGGGTGCTGGCTGGCTCTCRGACGACAGCCGGAATCCAGCTGCTGTCTGCAGCTTCTGCAGTTACTGCCCGGGTCTAGGACATCACCTTCTGGTGACAGCATCACCTCCTGTAATGGTCTCCACACAGCAGCCAGGGCAGGCCACAGAACACTCGGACTCTGCCTCTGCCTTGAACTCCAAGGCTGTGCTGATCTGCCCTCCCTCCTGTCTGGCCTTCTCTCCCCTGCGCCCCACCTCACCCTCCTGTCACAGTGGCCTCCTGCCTTTCCCAAACAGGACCCTTCCTCCACCCAAACACTCTGCCCAGCCACCCACAGTGACGGTCCCTCCCCTCCCTCAGCTCTGAGCTCTGACACCACCCTTCCTGGTCCACCCTGACCATCTGACTTAAAAACCACCACAACCCACCAGCCCTGGAACCTTTCCTGAGTGTCATCTCGTCACATATGTTTGTTTTACATATATTTATATTTTTGATAATTCACAAAATAGTGTGTGTATGTGTGTGTGTGTGTGTGTGTGTGTGTGTGTGTGTGTGATGTCTATTTTTCCTAGTAGAAGGTAACTCCAAGAGGCAGGTGTCACATTTTATCACTTGAGATGGTGCTTGGTACCTTGTGTCTAAGCAGAGCTGAATTTAAGGCTGATTCGCTTCTCTGAGGGCAGATGATGGTGTGGCAGGGTATCACTGTCACCAGAGTGTGTGTCAGGAGTGGGGACAGAGTGGGACCCACGGAGGGAGAAGCTGGCAGGAGGTCAATAGGGAGGATGCTCAGATGCCATAGTTTTAGAGCCTGATTAGGGGGAATACCCAGACAGCTGGGCCTCCGTGTCCCCCCAACCTAGGCCAAACTRTTCCAAACAGCAAAGTCACACAGCTGGCCACAGAGAGGCCGCTCGGACAAGGCAGCTGGCTGCACCCTCTTTGGGGCACCTTGAACTTGCGAGTCCAGGAATCTCTGGGTTTCAAGCTCTCTGGTGGGTGGCTCGTGGACATGKCTGGGTGGGGCCTTGCCTGAGTCCCTCTGAACATGCTTTGCTCCCCAGGACGACTGTCTGCTGAATGAATGGAGAGGGACAGTGGGGGAGCTGGGTGCTGAGGAGGAGAGGTGGACAAGGTGAGCCCGGGGACATGTGCCCACAGAGCCTGGACAGACACGGGAGGGCAGGGCCTGTCCTGACAGGCGGGACAGGCACGTCCAGTTCTCGCCCTCGCCGGCTCCACCTGCACCCGGGCTGGCCTGGAGCACGCGTCCCAGGAAAACAGAAACTCGTGACTTTGGTTTTATTGTGATGGACATTTTTATTTACCTACCGCATGCTCCCTCCTAGGCTGGCTGGCTTTCTTCTAAAGAGGGGCCTAACCTAAGTCCCGTGGTGACCTGCAGCACCCATCTYCTGGCCTTGGTGGTCCCCTGCACCCTGCTCTGCTCTGGCCTCTCTGAGCCTTCGCTTTCACTCCAGGTGGGGGTGCGCTGTCCGCGGGCTTTGGTCCTTGATCCTCCGTGTCTCTGCATTTTGTGCTGGGTTTTCTTGGCTGCCCCCAGAGCTGCACCTTTGGCCTGCCTGTCCCCTTATTCCTGTCCCGTGTCTCCGGTGGCTGGACACCTTGGCCTGAGTGGGGCCACTGGCCTCTCAAGTCAGCACGCTTAGCACCAAGCTCACTCTCTTTCTCCCTCTGCGTGGGGACCTTCTTTACTTGAACTTTCAGGACTGCAACCCCAGGGCCACCTCCGGATCCCCGCTCCTTCCCTCATCCTTCCCAGTGCCCCATGCCCTTGCTGCCCACGGCCCCTTCCCTCATCTGTTCCACGATCACCAACCACTGTGCACCAGGCTGTAGGGACCCGGGGCAGGCACCAGGCTCAGCCCTCTTCTACCTGTGGCACCTCAGGGACCATCCCTGCCCAGAGACTATGAGAGGAAGTCTGTTCCAGAATGAGGCGGCTCCATATCTGCAACCACAGTGCGACGCTGGCTAAGTCCCCTGCCATGTCTGAGCTTGGGAGTCCTCCTCTGCTCTCCAGGAGGATTATTCATCCCTGCCTCACCTCTTCCCAGTCTGGTAGGAGAGGCCCGTTCACCTGCTTCCTACAGGTGACGYTGACCTGAAAGATATTCATGGGCAGCACAATCTTCTTCTTCCTACAGACTGTGGCCTCAACCCCTTTTGGCCTTCTGGCCTCCAGTCAGGACAGGACCCTGGAGTCGAAATGTTCAGGAAACAGCCCAGGTAACTCTGTTTCGGAGAAGAGTTGTGGACCATGCTTGGAGAAATTCTGGCAGATTCAGACAAAATCTAAACCCCCTCAGCATCCTACTCGTGGAGGGGACCCTGCCCTCAGGTCTAGCCTCTACCTGTCCAGCAGCCATAGCAAGATATTTCCCTGCATGGAAAGCCCACCTGCTGGCCCTCTGTCCTGCCCTCAGTGGCCCAAATTCAAATGCCTTCTCCTGTCCACGAAGCTCAGGAACACCAGGCGTCACGGGCACCCCCCAACGGACACCCGGCCTGTCTGGGTTGCGGGATGGCTCTTCTCCACTCACACCCCAGCTTCCTCCCCAGACTGTGAGCCCTGAGGAACCCCCGCAGTGTGCCACTGGGGTTCCGAGACGTGCAGGAGAATCCCCAATGGATGGAGCCCCCAAGGGTGGAAGTCCAGGCCTGTGCATGTTCCAGAGTCTAAATAGAGGCGGGGTCCACAGGACCCCAGACAGGGGCTCCTGGTGCCACGGAGGAGGGGCAAGTGAAGACAGGGAGGGGGAGTCTAGGAGGGAACAGCACGGGCACAGGGAGAAAGGAGGAGGAAGGGGCGGGGAGCCAGGGAAAGCGCTGCTGCACCGGAATGCTGAGCTCAGGGTTCGCGTTCCTCCCGCAGGTCAGGGGTGGCTAGAGCAGCCGCTGCCTGTGTCTGCACCTAAGGTCGCTCTGGAACACTGCCATGGCTATCTTTACAGGTTGTGACAGCAAAGTCACAAGAGAGACGATATAGCTAACAAAGCTTAAAATATTTACTATGTGGCCATCTAGGGTAAGWCTGCCGGCTCCTGCCCTAGGCATTGGAAGCAAGGGTGGATTTTCAGCAGGGGGCGGCATGGTCTGGTCTGTGTTTTACTTTCCTCTCACTCCGGGATGAGGAAAGGGCTGGAATAAACAAGCTGGGGAAGGAAAAGTGGTTGGAAGCTGGTACAGTTGTCCAGGTAGTAGACAGATACTGACAACAATATTGTTGCTTTTTATTAAAAGATATATTAAGAGTTGCTATGTGCCCCTACTGATCTAAACCCCTTGAGTCATATTCCTTCATGTAATCTTCTTGATAGAGYTAGAGTTGTTATCCCCCTCTTAGAGCTTTAGCACAGAGAGGTTAAATAGCTTGTCCAAGGCCACACAGCGCAGCCAGACGCCAGACTGCAAACCCAGTAGTTCAAGTCTGAAATGGGGCCTCCACACCAAGCTCGAGGTCTTCAGGGTTGAGCGTGTTTGCTTGTTGACAACTCGCTGGGAGCCTCCCTGAGAACTCACAGAACACGAGTCCTCTGAAGGAGAAAGTCTACTCTGCGACGAGCCAGGCAGGAAGTGGGAGGCAGAGTGAGGCTATTTTGGAGAAGCGACATGAAAAACCACGAAACTTCCTACCTGTCCTGTTTTGCTCCCATCTGTCCTCGGGAACAAGGCTGTCCCTCTCTTAGATAAAAAGGTGTTTCTCCCCACACAGTGGCTCTGCCRCTGGTGCCGGGAGAGCGAGCACTAAGCTTAGTGCACATCTGCTATTTTTAAAGGACTACATAAACAAACAGGGCTGTGTAAATAAGAAAAAAAGGAGGTCATCCCTTTAAAATCTAAAAATGTCCCTTTTCTATGGGGCGAGCAGCGAAACCTCAGAAAAGACTGGGGCTTTTTTTTTTTTTTTTAATCCCCTTGAGGCCTCCTCCAGCACAGAGTCACCCCAAGCCACCAGGCCTGGTTCTCCCTCATGGCACCGCTGAGGGGAGGGCAGGGGACCAGGGAGCTGGGACTCCAGGGTTTCACGCCTGGCTCTRTGAGCTTCGCCTCCACCGCCTCACACCTCGGCCCCTCTCGGCACCACCTCCCCTGACGCTGGTCCCCCTCCGGTCACCTCGACTGCCCAACGCACAGGTCCTCCAGTGAGGCCCCTGGCTCAGCGTGCTAACCCGCCCTGTCCCCTCTGGGGTCTCTCCCTCTCCCCCGACCCACACTTGGGTCTGCTGCATGGCTGCCCTGGCCCTTGGAGTGGCCATTGGAAGAGACTTCTAGGCTCCTGTTTCATGCCCTGTTTCTCTGCGCACGGTCTAGGCTTTCCCATTCTCCTCTGTGCCATTTCTTCCAAGTTGAGAGCTGCAAGTCATCCAAGGAACCAGGGAGCTGAGTTTAGGTCTGGCCAATGGTCAGAACACACCCCAAGCCRCAGCAGGAGCTCAAGTCCTCTGCGTTGCCTGAAGCTTTTCTCACTAGGGACCCCTCCGCCCCCTCCCCAAGCTGTCCAGTGAGTCCTGCCAACAGCCTGGCCTCTCCCCTCCCCTCCGCCATCTCTCCCTCTCTCCTCCTCTGCTRTCCTGAAGCAATGAAATGTGGTGGTGGTGGTTGGGGGGGACTCTCGTACACTGTAGATGGAAACATAAATTAATACAACCACTATGGAAATCCCAATGGAGATTCCTCAAAAGACCAGGAAGGGAACCACCCATGATCCAGCTGTTCAACTCCTTGGGATTCATGCAGAAGAACTCAAGTCAGCACACTCTACCAATATCTGCATCCCACGTGCATAGCAGAGCAATTCACGATAGCCATGCACGCTCTGGACTCAGCCTGGGTGCCCATCAACGGAAAGAAAATGTAGTATATATACACTACGGGGTTTTATTCAGCCCTAAAGAAAAGGAAATTACATCATTTGCAGGAGAGTGGATGGGACGAGAGGGCAGCATATTAAGCAAAAGAAATCAGCCTCAGAAAGTCGAGGGTCATACGTTTTGGGGAAAAAAGGGATCTCATGAAAATGGAAGGGAGATCCGCAGGGTAAAGAAAGGGGGTTGGGGGAGAGAGGAAGGGAAGGGGGGGATACTGAGGAATGAAATTAATCAAATTACATTACAAATATGCCACAATGAATCCCACTATTATGTGTGATTATTATGCACCAATAAAAAATTTAAGAAGTCTTCATGAAAAAAAAAAAACAACCCCCAATATTTGTTGGAAGGGAAATTTTCAAATTGTGTTCCATGGAGCTATTTCAGAAGTTCTTCAGTTGATACATGAGAATTTTATCCTAAAAATACAGTCTGACTCCTATTAACACGGTAACAGAAGACAGACCTGCGCATCTAAACGCGTTCCGTGGCCCGCTGTAGCCCACTGCATGTAGCCAGCTGACGGATGCTGCCGGAGTAAGGGCAGATCCTGCACTAAGGTCTGGGTAGATCTTGAACTTCAGTGTTGAAATGGGTCTTCAGCGAGATAAATTGGGTTTCAGCTCTTTACTGGGCATCTTTGTGCTGTTGAAATTCAGGACTAYGTCTACTTGCATAAAAACACACAAGCAAGAATACCCTGAAGCATTCAATGATAAGAGAATGTATTTCAAGGATTCTCACACAGGTGTCATAGATGGTTCTGGGGCTTCCTGTCTGCTTTCTGTTTGTAATAAGAAGGGATTCAAGCAATTGTTGGAGACAGTGGTGCACACCAGAACTCTCTTCTACCCCTCCCTGGATACCTGGATAATGTGGAGCTGAAGATCACCTTGTAGCTAAAAGGTATGCTGTTGAAAATTCACAGTGGTATTGATGTGATTTGGAATTCCTTAATACTGTGCAGCCAAGCCAAGCAAAACAAGAGAGAGAAGAGGAACACTGGATGTTGTGGCTGGTAGAGTAATACAATGGTTATCTAGGATACAGGTCAGCAAATTTTATCTGTAAAAGGCCARATAGTAAGTAGTTCTTGCTACAAGGGGCAGACAATCTCAAGCAGCCGTGGATAACATGTAAATGAATGTGTTCCAATAAAACTTTATTTACAAAATCAGGTGGCAGTCTCGATTTGGTCCACAAAGCAGTTTGTGGATTCCTGATTTAGAATTTCATATTTCAATGTTTTTATGCATCAGTGTTATTATTCCATGAATATATAGTCATAATAAATACATGCTAAAGATTTGAACTTAAAGAATAGATGAATATTAATACTCTGCCACATTAACTTGTTTTATACATTGACATTCCAGGCAAGATCTGACTTTTAAAAATGGCTTCTCAGACAACAAAAGCTTGAAGACTACTAGCAGAGATGTTGGCTACTAAGAAAAATGCTTCCATGTCTATTTTTGAATYATCTTTGTCCTCTAGTCACTCAATCAGAAGTCACATTTATTCTGGWGAAAGCCCCAGTTCAGGTACCTTTTGAAGAGGGGGCAGTGTCCCCATGTCCTCCTGCCCTCGGTTGACAGGGAACACAGYGGTCCCCAGGCCTTGGGTGGTGATGATGGATCTCTCCCTTCCCAGTAGTACACCTGCTGGCCTGGGCCAGCACCCTGCACCTCCACAGACGGGCCAGTGGGCAGCCATGGCCCATGATCACCTGGGTCCCCCAGCAGTACTGAGTCAGCACCCCATTAATCATGGCTGCTTTCTTCCCCAGGGAGAGCACGGGAAGGAGTGGGGGTCAGATTTCTAGCTGGAACTGAYGGCTCATTTCCTGCTCCCCCACAGATGCCCCCTGCAGCTGGCAGAGCCCAAGTAGACAAACCAGAGTTGGGGTGAAGTAAGGGAGAGAAAGTGCCTGGTCCTGGGAGGACCCCTGGGGGCAGTTCCCCCAGAGCTCTGCCTGCATCCCTCCAAGGATGCTGCTGAGGAGTAATGCAGGCCCTGCCCTGAGACTGCCAGGAGAGGAGCCCACGGAGTCTACTGTGATGGACACAGAAGGAGACAAACAAATTGAAGTAYAAGGAAAGGAAAAGTACAAGATGCCAAGGGACCATTCATTAAGGGGCTGTTCCTACTAAAATGTAGATATGACTAGGGGAAGGCAATCTTTGAATTACAGCTGCCTTTCTTCAGGAAGAATCTGGTGGAGGAAAAAAGTATTGGGTCTTATGTAGCCAGAGGTACTGCTCCTTGTAGCTGTGTGACTGTCTTTCAATTACGGATCATCTCTGTGCTGTTTCTTAATCTGTACACAAGGAGCAACAGGACCCACCTCCCTAGGTTCTCTGCAGGACTCAGACTCATCTGTAAAGTGCCAGGCCCTGTGGGCAGCAAGGGCTGATCCCTCAACTTCACCTGCCCTGGGACCATGTGGTASAGCATAGCAGATGTGTCACAGGGAGAGTAGTGGCCTGCCTGTCTGCACCAGTGGTAGACGGTGGTGGGCAAGTGGGGAGTCCTTGCTACGTGTCTGGCCCTGTCCCATGGTCCTTACCTGCATGTCGCCCCTGCGGCCACTGCCACTGCCACTGCTAGCCTCACTTTGTAAGTAAGAAGGCTGAGACACAAAGAGGAGCACCTTGCACCAATAAATACTCTACAAACTGTCAGAGCTRGGATTTGAACTTGCAGAGAGGCTGTATTATCAAGCACCAAAATGGGGCTCAAATGCCCAATTCTTCCTAGGGATCCAGGGCAAGCTTGCTCTCTACCTCTGTGGGAGAACTCTGGTCAAAGCCTGGGTCTGCTGGGCCCAGGTGTGCTGCAGAGGAGTGGGCAGAAGCCCAGGCCCTGGTCCTACTCCACAGTCCACGCAGCCACAGAGATGCCACCTCTGAGGCACCTGAGGCCCCAGCCCCTATACATAGTGAGAAGATTTCTGCTCTCAAGGGACAGGATGAGTCACTGTTCATAGCCAGTCAGGTTGGGAAATTCCCCTTGGACCGCACAGCTATGCCCACAGACCCAAGCATAAGTCAGGAGGGACATCTCCAGAGCCTCTGGAAGAATCTCCAAGTCTCCAACTTTAGCTACACGAGAATCCAAAGWCAGATTCTTGCAGCCCAAGCCCCTAAAGTCTGAGGGAATGGGTGTCTGGGGGATTCACTCTGCCCTCTTTTCTTCTTTTTTTAAAAATTAGTTCCCCAGGTAACTCTAATGCACTCCATACCAAACACCCAAGGACTTGATCCTGACCCCAAAAGCTTTTTAATACCATACACCTAACCAGAACCACAGCCTGACCACACCACCTATCTGAGGCACTAAATATATATATTTAACTATATATATATTCCCAGGCCAATCCAATTTGGATCTTTGGAGCTGGGGCCCTGGTACTGGAATTTCTGGAACTCTCCATGTGATGTTGACACATGGCTAGGATTGAGGACCACTACTAACGACCTTCCAATTCTTCCAACAGTAGGGTCTGGGGAGCTGATCTCCTGCCTTCAGGTCGCAGGGGATACTGACCTCCTCTGACTGGGCAGTGGGTGGGTGGGGGAGGGCAGGAGAGGAAGAGATCTCTGGAAAGCAGGTGTTGGACAGAGGCAGGGGCAGGCCTGGATCCGCGAGAGGCTTTGTTGTGTCCAGGCACAGGATGGAGACTGTTGAACTGGGGGCATCAGGACAGCAGTTTGGGGAGACAGCATGGGGAAGTGGCAGGGGTGGCACCTGAGGGCTCACCCTCTTGAGCAAGCAGTTCTGAGAGCTCCCAGAGCTCCCCAGAGGCACAAGGGAGGCAATGATAATCACAGCAGTCACAACACATTTTAAGAAGAATGAAAGCAAGCGCACGCTTCATCAAAATGGCGCCCAGCAAGCACATCCAGGCGTTGCTGTCTCCTACCTGTGCTGAAGGCACCACTTCCGGTGACCGAAACTAAAACGCTGTTCTCTTTGGAAACCAGCATTCATGTCCACGCTGCTGCGGCCTCCTCTTACACACCACTCTGCCCTCTGGAGGGGAGAGCTTGCCTGGCCGGGGTCTCTTGAGGCTGCTCCATGAACTACTTCCAGGCTGCTGGGTTTGTGTCTCGAATCCTGTAGGAGGTGGTTGAAAGCCATGGTCAAAGAGTTTTCTTGGTCAGCTTCTTTAGACACAGAACAATAATTTCTTCCTGGTCCCAGGAGACCCAAGTCCCCAACTCCTCCCAAGCTGCTCTTCTTGGTGCAGGGCCTGACCCCCATGTTTGGTGTAGTGGTTCTGGAACCCACCATCTGCTACCTGTACCCCACACTGAATTTCTCTGAGCCTTATTCTTTGCCTGTATTTTGGGTGGGAACTTCACAAGTTCAGTTCTGCATACACCCCAGGATCATAATGCTTAGGTTCTGTTCTAGGGCACAGTAGATCTTCAAATGGGGAGATGATCTAAGCCTGAGCTAAGCAGGAAAGCCCTTTAAAAGAAGTCTTTTCTGACTAGTTAAGAAGAGAAAACCAGAGAGACTAGAATCATTAGGATTCAATGTGCCCTTGATGATTTGAAGATAAAGGGGCCATAGAGGAATGACCTGGAAGCAGAGTGCAACCACCCCACTAACAACTAGCAGCCGCAGTACCTCAGTCCTACAACCACAGGGAACTGAGTTATGCCAACAATAGGAATGAGCTTGGAAAAGCAGTCGCTTCTCCAGAGCCTCCAGATGAGACCTTAGCCCATGGAGACCTCCGTGTCAGCCCTGAGCAGAGTCCAGCCCTTCTGTAAAGACTCCTGACCTAGAAACTGAGCCAAGGAATGCATCTGGTGGGAAGCCACTAAATTAGAGGTAATTGGTTACACAGCAAGAACACTAACCTGGCCCACAAAACTGACTCGAATTTGGGCATGGGTGAGGATTAGCTATAATCATGGATGCAAGAGCACATTGTATTCCTCGAGTCACCAAACAAAACAGAATGTTCAGGACCAGCAGAAGCCTGGGTCAGGGAAGGAGCTCAATGATTACTGAATAAATAAGGGCTAGGCGTGAGCATCAGATTTCAATAATCAACCTAGCAGGYTATTTTAGGGACCATGTGAGAAAATACAGAGGAACATGCTTCCTAAAGCTGGAATTGTTTTAGTYGACTATGGCATGGCATGTCCCCTCTGTGCTGTGCTCTTTGGGCTCTGCTCACTGTGTCTGCTCTAGGCAGTGTGGCATGATGGCTGGAATGTGGTTTCTAGGGCCAGGATACCTGGGTTCAAGTCCCAATCCTTCTAGATACGACCTCTCCGACTTTGGTAAGTTGCTGTGCCTGAAAAGGAGGCTAAGACAAACAGGTGCCTCCCAGGGTTTTAATGACCTCACGTAAATGACCCAGAACAATGCCTGGCACTTGAGACACCCTGCACGATTGCCATGCGCTTTGTCCCAGAGTGGCACTCAACCCTCTGGGCCTGGAGTAACCTGCACACAGGCCTGGGATATTGTCCCCTTGGGCACAAGCTTTGCATTAACCTAGTCTTCAAATAGTTAGTGCTTGGCAACCACTTTTCACTATTGATTCCTACAGGATATACAGGTCACCCAAGTCCCTCTGCTGTCCCCTTCCCTCCATACCTGCAGTCCTGCCCCAGACCCAAAGGTAGCAGGGCGCCACCTCACAGGRGTGAGGCTGGACTTGCTTCCTGGCTCCCATCTATCGTTTCCTGAGTGTGGCAGCCCCTCACCCAAACTTCACAACTCCATGGTTTTCCATTTCCGAGTGTGACCTTATGCCCTCTAATAGGTTGCAATTATTAATAAAAATGTTCTATTTCTCCCACTGATTTCTCAGAACACACTGTTCCACAAACAATCCACCATTTCCTACCTCTSAGTCTTTTGCTCAGGCAATTTCTTCTTCCCAGAATGTACTCCCTTCCCCCACAACCATGTCTACCTGACCAAATCGTGCCCATCCTCCCTCACATGGTTCAACCAGCTCCCACAAAACTGGACGTGAGTCCTGCCTTCCAGCACACACAAAGCACATTTGTTGTGGCTCTCTTAAGGTAAATAATGGYGTTCAGTATGTGCAGAGACAACCTGGAAGCCCTTTTAGAATTAACAAAGCTCAGGCAGGGGCAGTGTGACTCTATCCCCGACCCCTAACAGGTGTTTTCCACACAGCAACTGTATAGGGTCTCTTTAGACCCCAATRCAGCACATTTAACAGATGTGCATTCAGTGCCTAAGCTGGTTCAGGTGGGTGGTAGGTACCAAAGATAAAAGACAGCCTTGGTTTAGTCCCTTAAGGGGATCATAGTGAAGCAGTTGATTCTGATGGTGTCTGAATGTGTGAAATAGGGAGAGAGAGAGAGAGAGAAAGAGAGAGGGAAGGAGGATATTTCAAACAGAGAACCCCCAAGTGGCTGGAATGTTGGAGAAACTGCCTGATGTCCCAGTGGCTGGAGGGAAGGGTGGCCACAGCTGCTGAGGGAGGAGTCAGCAGGGGCCAGAGCCCAAGGTTTACTGGAGGAGGAGCCGGACTTGGTCTTACCCGTGGAGTGAGGTCATGGGATCATTTTAACCAATGAGGTCATGTGGTGGGGATGAGGGGTGTGTCTCTGGAGGGGGTGAGAGGGGGTGGAAGCTGGGAGACTTCTTTCTGCARGAGCCCTGGGAGTGAGGCCAGCATCACTGGTCACTGACAGTGCTGGTCCCCTTCTTAGCAACTGGTCAGAGAGCTGCCCAGCCATACCAGTATCCAGGCTACCTGCAAATGCCATACACATTGAGGTTCTAGATGGCCAACTAAGTCCATCTGGCTACCTTGACATAAAAAGAGAAACATGCAAATCAGAAGAGATCCGTAGTAGCACCAGCTGGCCAGGAAGCCTGAGGAGTGGGAGTGTCATCGGAGCCACGCTGGCCTCACCTGGGTAGCCTGGGCAGGGAGACAYACTCAGAGGAAGGGGACTGGAATCCCAGGATACAAGAATGCTCTAGGCTTCCAAAGAGACCCATATGGAGAGGGGGAAGTCATGGGGAAYGGAGAATTCCTCCCCGCACCCTTTGTGACCTTCAGTTCCATGGCTTTACTATTCTGGGAGCCGCTGGCCGGGCAGATGGCTTGTCCGTTCATTACAGAAATTCCTGAAGGATCTACCCACTCTTCATCAACACTCTGTGTCCAGAAATTCTTTGAATCCCTTGCCTCAAACTCCTCGCCTCTCTGGTTCCCTTCTTCTTGGACGACAGTGCTCCAGGCCTTGCACAGCCTCCTCGGGCTCCCACACTGACATCTTCATCTAAAGGAAACCTCCAGTCCTGGGTGGAGACACCTTGCCTCCCCCATCCACATGTGCCTGGGCTCTGTGGAGTGGCATTCTCCCCTCCTAGGCAAGTGGCGAACTCAGCCTGGATGCTATCAGGAGAGCTGGCGTCCAACAATCCCTACAAAAGATGTTGAGAACCAGGTAACGTCGGACTGATGCCGCCTCACTGATGGCTAGAGTGAGACAGGGCCAAGGTGTCAGATCTTGAGGGAAAAGGATTAAAACCCTGAGATCTCAAAGTGAAAGAGAGAAGGGCTAAAATAGGATGCCACCCACTTACCTATTCTCAAAGAAATTACTCGAGGAATTACTCCAACAAAATAAAAACTATACCAGAATAAGTCATCCGAGAAAGGGCAAGAAGGCCTAYCCAAGAAACAGGGATGATAAAAGCAGAACAAGTACAGCTATAGCTACACAGWTGTGCTTAAGGCTGGGCTCATCTTACTGGGAATTAGATACCACTGAATTCTTAACATGAATAGAGAAATATATCTTTAACTTAAGGACAACCATTTCTAGAAGAAAAATAAAATACAGACCTTTTAAGCCACTGTATGTGTGGRAGAAGGGAGGAACAAACAAAATCCAATTAATTTAGCAAGAGTTAGGGAAGGAAAAATTAAAWAGGAGGAAAAAAAGTACAATAAGTTAGAGACATAAGATGACAAGAGTATGACCAAACCTATTAATCAATTTAATAACATGAATAAATTCAATTATCTTATTGGGTAAAAAATAAAGAAATCTAGCCATATGCTAGATTTGTAAGTAATAAACATAAAACCAATTGATGAAGAAAGGTTGAAATCAAAGAAATGGAAAAAAATACTTAACCGGCAAAATGATAACAAAAAGAATTTAGGGAAGTCAATATGAATCTCAACCAAAATGCAAAAATATTAAATAAAGTGGGACACTTTATATTGCTCAAGGGCCTACAGGAAGACACAAAATCATGAAACTTTAACTGGGTCTGAGCAACAGGACCACAAAATAGATGAAACAATACKTTCTTAAAACCACAAGGAGTAAAGGTAGAAAATAAAGACGGCTTTGGGGATTATGAATCAGTTTTGATGGGACAAGTTGCCTCCAAAGAAGAATAGGGAAGATCTGAAGATGTGATTAGTAGGCTTAACTTCCTACACATTCCAGAAACAGATAAAATTCGTTTCCCTCAAATACCCTATATCACACTGCAAGAAAACCTCCAATCTAAAGTGTCTAAATTGTACAGATCCCGGCTGTAGTTCTCAATGAAATGATATCTGAGGTGAACAAATAGCGGAACACGAAAATTAAAAAAAGTAAACTTTGCATGTGCCAATTTTAAACTGCTTTTCTAAATAACTTTTGAGTCAAAGAGGACCAGAGAAAAACTGAAATTGAGAGACCTAAGTGTGTGTATGTGTGTATGTTTGTGTGTGTGTGTGTGTGTGTATATTCCTGGGGACTGAACACAGGGGCCCTTTACCTCTGAGTTATATCCCCAGCCCTTTTTATTTAATTTTGAGACAGGATCTTGCTAAGTTGCAGAGGTTGGCCTCCAATTTGTAATCCTCTCACCTCAGCCTCCTGAGTCACTGGGGTTACAGCCATGCCTCACCAAATCCCACTGAGAGCCGTACTTTTTGAAATCTATGATATGTAATCAAAACTGCACTGAGGAACATATAAACCTTAAATTCGTTTATGACAAAAGAAGAAAGACTAAAACTAAATGAATTAAGAAGTCTATCTAAGAAACTGAAAAAAATCATATAAATGAAAATAGCCTAGAAGAAATACATGAAT